CGAGCCCGTCCTGTTTTTGGCTGTTGCATTTCCTGTCCATTTCATCAGATTAATGTATAGCCATGGATGTTACATCATCATGGATCCTTCCTAAAATCACGTTTTCTATTGACACAGCAAATTTCACGTGATTTCGAGCACGACCTACGTTTCACTTTTGCATTGCCTGTCTGTTTGATTGTCTGTTTGATCCGAGAATTGTATAGCCACACATGCTACATCATCACAGATCCATCCTAAAATCACGTTTTCTATTGACCCACCAAATTTCATGCGATCCCAAGCCTGGCCCGTTTTTAGCTTTTGCATTGCCTGTCCATTCGATCCGAGAATTCTATGGACATGGATGCTACATCATCGTGGATCTTTCCGGAAATAACGTTTTCTATTGACCCACCAATTTTCTTGTGATTTTGAGCCCAACCAATTTTTGGCCTTTTCAATGCCTGTCCGTTTGATTTGAGAATTGTACGGCCATGTATGCTACATCATCGTGAATCCTTCGAAAATAAGGTTTTTTATTGACACTCCAAATTTCACACAATTTCGATCCTGTCCCGTTTATGGTTTTTCCATTGCCTATCCATTTGATCTGAGAATTTCATGGCCATGCATGCTATATTCTCATGGATCCTTCATAAAATCACGTTTTCTATTGACCTATCAATTTTCACTCGATTCTGAGCCCGTCCCGTTTCGGGCTTTTGCATTGCTTGTCCGTTTGGTTTGAGAATTGCATGCCCATGCATACTATATCATCATCGATCCGTCCTAAAATCACATTTTCTAGTGACCCACCGAATTTCACACGATTCCAAACCCAGACCGTTTTTGGCTTTTGCGTTGCATGTCCGTGTGATCTGAGAATTGTATGGCCATCCATGCTACAATATCATGGATCTTTCCTAAAATCACGTTTTCTATTCACCAACCAAATTCGACACGATTCCGAACCTGGCTCGTTTTTGGCTTTTGCAATGCCTGTTGGTTTGATCCGAGTATTGTATGGCCATGCATGCTACATCCTCATGGACCCTTCCAAAAATGACATTTTCTAATGACCCACCAAATTTCACGCAATTCCGAGCCCAACTCATTGTCGACTTTTGCATTACTTGTCTGTTTGATCCGAGAATTGAAGGGCCATACATGCTATATCATCATGGATCCATCCTAAAATGACTTTTTCTATTGACCCCCCAAATTTCATGTGATTCCAAACCCAGCCCCTTTTTTGGCTTTTGCGTTGCCTATTCGTTTGATCCTAGAACAGTATTGCCATGCATGCTACATCATCATGAATCCTTCCTAAAATCACGTTTTCTATTGACCCACCAAATTTCACACGATTTCGAGCCCAGTCAGCTATTGGCTTTTGCATTGCTTGTCTGATTGATCCAAGAATTGTATGGCCAGGCATCCTGCATCCTGATGAATCATTCCTAAAATCAAGTTTTCTATTGACCCACCAAATTTTAAGATTCTGAACCCGGCCCATTTTTCGCTTTTGCATTGCTAGTCCGTTTGATCTAAGAATTGTATGCCCATGCATGCTATATCATCATGGATCCGTCCTAAAATCACGTTTTCTATTGACCCACCAAATTTCATGCGATTTTGAACCTGGCCCTTTTTTTGCTTTCGCATTGCCTGTCCATTTGATCCGATAATTGTATGGGCATGCATGCTACATCATCATGGATCCTTCCTAAAATCACATTTTCTATTAACCCACCAAATTTCACCTGATTCTAACCCCGACCCGTTTTTTGCTTTTGCATTGCCATTCAGTTTGATCCGAGAATTGTATGGCCACACATGCTACATCATCATGGATCGGTCCTAAAATCGCGTTTTCTATTGATTCACCCTATTTCAAGGGATTTCGAGCCCAACCCATTTTTGGCTTTTGCGTTTCCTGTCCGTTTGATTCGAGAATTATATGGCCATACATGCAACATCATCATGGATCGTTCCTAAAACCTCGTTTTCTATTGACCCACCAAGTTTCTCGCAATTCCAAGCCCGACCTATTTTTGGCTGTTGCAGTGCTTGTCTATTTGATCTAAGAATTGTATGGCCATGCATGCTACATCATCATGGATCCGTTCTAAAATCACGTTTTTTATTGACCCACCAAATTTCATGTGATTCCGAGCTCAGCCTGTTTTTGGCTCTCGCATTGTTTGTCCATTTGATCCGAGAATTGTATGGCCATGCATGCTACATCCTAATGGATCCTTTCTAAATCACATTTTCCATTAACCCACCATTTTTCACGTGATTCCAAGACCGACCCGTTTTTTGCTTTTGCATTGCCTGTACGTTTGAACCGAGAATTGTATGGCCATGCATGCAATATCATCATGGATCCTTCCTAAAATTACATTTTTCAATTAACCCACCAAATTTCTCACGATTCCGAGCCCTACCTGTTTTTCGCTTATGCATTGTATGTCCGTTTGATCTTATAATTATATTGCCATGGATGCTACATAATCATGGATCCTTCCTAAAATCACATTTTCTATTGACCCACCAAATTCACGAGATTTTGAGACTGGCATGTTTTTGGCTGTTGCATTGCCTATCCATTTGATCCGAGAATTATATGGCCATGCATGCCACATCCCCATGGATCCACCTTAAAATCACATTTGCTATTGACCCACTAAATTTCACTCGATTTCGAGACTGACCCGTTTTTGCTTTTGCATTGCTTGTCCGTTTGATCTAGGAATTGTATGCCCATGCATGCTATATCATCGTGGATCCTTCCTATATTCCCCTTTTCTTTGACTAATACTTGTTGAATTATATGAAATATTAGACTATTATAAACAACGTCATAATTTTTGGTTTACTGTTGATAATCGCCATTTACAATCTGTAGGAACACAGCAATTATAGAACATTAATAATCAAATACAGTTAATTGAGCAGCAGATCCAAGTGCAGATCTACTTGTTGGCAGTGGCCGTCCGACCACCACCCCCTCTATAGTAAACATTATGAAACCATATATAGCATAATTTGAATTTAATATAGTAACAATATGAATATTAGTGTCCCTGGGTTTGTGCTAATTGAGGGTAGAACTGTGTTAGGTTAAGTGGGACGTCATCCAAGTCGCGTAGTGGGAGACCGGTTAGCAGTGATTGCGGTTAGGTCGCAACCTTGTAAGTCGTTGACAGACGTGTTTAGCTTTACCATATACCAAGCACATCACATTGGTATTAGAGCCATGTTTATTATAATTATATTTTATTTAAATTATACATATATGGTCCCCATACACCTGTATGAGTACTGTACATATAGAAGATACAATTACTACAGTAGCCAATACAGTAGCTTCTACATCAGAAGCAGCTGAATTTGTAGCCTATCAGGATGCTAGGGAAGCCTTAGACAAATGGATTATCCCAAAAGTCAAACCAGATACTATATACAGGATAGGAGCCTTTGGCTTTACCAGTAGAAAAATAATCAAAACTTTTTGACATGTTGTACCCATACAGAATGATTATGAGGTTATGTATCTCCTTCATATACAAGACTTATACCCATTTGTATAAAAGTATAAGTATGTCGATATAGGACTAGTATAGATAACATTCAAGCTTTTAACCTTACTTGGGCAAAATACCAATATACAATGAACTCTTCGAGATGGAAGATGTCTTGATTGGCGAGCTTCTGTAATGGGAGCCATAGAAACCAGTCTCTCTCATGGTCCAGTATACTTTAATATATATCCAATCTAAGCACCACACTTATTGACCCTAATCTGTCAAAAGTATTAGAGCTTAGGATCCTTTCCCATGGATATCAGTATTTACTAGGATCACCACCTTTTACAATAATATCTAGGATTCATCTAAAGGTTTTAGCCACTCTGAATCCTTATAGCAAAAAGCAGAGTGAATTAGGACACACAGTTCTAATTGATACCAACCTTTTTAGTAGCCAAGTTGCTATCCTGAGAATGATACCTTGGCAGAATATAACTTTTCCAGAAAAATGGCATATTACTAATGCTGTTCCAGTGCGACCCATTGTGAGACAAACTTTACACGATGTCATACAGACACAAGGAGGTAATGTTTATCTCACTTTTAATAGGCCAAATAGGCCATTATCCATAAGCATGTCAAGTGCTAGCTTTAGAACTACTCCATCTTATAGAGTAGATCTACCAGAATCTTCTAGACAATCCACTTCAGTAGAATTTGTATTACAAGGCATGTCCTCCAGACCTCTAAGTGATACAACTCCTGAAAATCCTATTGATCCAGTTGTGCAAGGGATCTAGGGAATTCGATTTTCAGAAAACCAAATACATCATGGCGTATATGAATCCAGAAGGCCATATAGTCCAAGGGCCAGTGATATGAATTTTGAAGTTTAATGGATTTTAAACCAAGTAGTGAAAATAGAAAAATCTTAAATCAGGATTTTTTCCAGAATCAATATAATGAATTTAGGGCATGGTATTTTAAAAATCATAGTCCTCTCCAACTTGAACAGCTTAAAAATCAATATTATTCTCATTTAGACGATCAACAGAAACTTCAATCTTTTCCTTTATGGTATATGGAAAATACCACCATTCCAGAAGCACAAATTAATGTCTTAGAAAATATGCAGAAGGCATGGATTATCATAGATGGACAAAAGTATCAGCGCTGTCCATCCACCACCACGGTCATTAGAATTAGAACCTAGTGACACTACATCCAGTAAACCTTTAGTCATTACAACTTTTGTGGAAACTCCTGACAGATTATCTCAAAGAGAAATCGTATTAGTCAAAGATATTATACCTTTGATTAAACAGAATAATTATACCAATCTTTACTGCCAAACAGTAGGAAAACAATTAACCAGAATTGAAGAAACCGTCACACAAATAAATGACAGTTATAAAATTCAACCTAAGGTTGAACCTATATTTCCAGTAAATGTAAAACCAGCATTACAAGTGCAAAAATTTATAAACAGGATAATGAATTTATGGAAGCCCTAGTTAAAAAGATTAAAGATATTAAAATAGGGGATTCCTCACAAATAAATATGTTGTCCAGACAACAAAGTTCCCACAATCCATAACAACACGAAGATAGTGATCAAGCTATATCACCGTCTCAAATTGCAGAAATCCAAAATAATTTTTAGGATGCCCCCTCAATTAATAAGATTAATTATGGAAAAGGCACCAATAGGATGGCCTTAACAGGACCTAGTAGGCATTACTACCCAAGGCCTACTCCTATGGATACCCATTATGAAGAAGATTTCATTCAAACTCAAAGGTCTTACCATGGTAAAACTATTTATGAATGGAATCTGGATAGGATGTCTGAATACCAGTTATTTGAACTGCTACATCAAATGATGATGTACTCTATAGTAAGTCAACAGAATGACAATACAGACCATCAAATAGCCATATTTATTGTTAATGGCTTTACAGGAGTCCTTAAAGGATGGTAGGATAATATCCTAACTGTTACCCAACAAAATGAAATTTTAAATTCAGTTAAAATCCATACCGATCCTTTAACAGGACATCCAGAACAAACACAAGATGCAGTGTATACACTTATCCACACTATCGTACATCATTTCGTAGGATATGATGATGGTGCTAATGATAGGAGCAGAGAACTTTTACAGAATCTTAGATGTCCATCTCTAACCCATTTCAAATGGTATAAAGATGTTTTCCTAATGAAAGTAGTGTGTCAATCTGATGCTAACAGTGAACATTGGAAAGCTAAATTTATTGACGGCCTTCCTAGTCTTTTTGCTGAAAGAGTTAGAAAGAAATTACAGGGTTATTATAATAGAATGACCATACCGTATGCAGAATACACCTATGGCCAGCTAATAGGCATAGTAACCGAAGAAGGTCTTCCTTTATGTAATGATCTCAAACTCCAGTATTAAATGAAAAAGCAAAATCTTACAGGCAAAAAGGAATTAGGTGAATTCTGTGAACAATTTGCCTATGATACTAAAATCCAGTATCCTACTAAATCTAGAAAGCAAAAATTTGGAAAACCTTCAAAATATTATTCCAAAAAATACATAAAATATAAAACTCCCAAACAGAGCTATCAGCTAAATCCGCCTCACAAATCTTATAAAGGCAAATAGAGAAAATCTTATAAAAAGAAAGATAAATCCACAATAACATGTTACAAATGTAGACAAACAGGTCACTATGCTAATCGCTATAAAGAAGAAATCTAGCAAAAACTAAATGAGATGGCACTTGATGATCATCTCCAACAGTAGATTCTTCAAGCAATCTCTGAAGAAGAATCAAGCACACTTTCAGATGATGGACTTGCTGAACTCTATTCACCACCAGAGTCTGATTCAGAATTTGACTCTTCTCCCGAACTTTGCCCTTGCAAACAAATTAATATAAAACAACTTTCAGAAGCTAACTATTGGAAAGCAATAGTAAAAATGAATGGACTTGACTTAAGGGGAGCTGGACCAAGTATTAATGTCCTTATAGATAATGAGAAAAATACGTTGAATATGGCTGTAGACACCCCATTTTTGACCGCCCTTAAGACTTGGGCGCCTCAAGTTGGTTACTCGAGGATAAAAGTTGTGCTATGCGAAGGTTTGATTTCTTCGGCAAGAGGAGCTTCAAATCCCAACCTTACACCCCATTTTGGACCAAAACTATTTTGACCAAAATGATTTTAGACCTTAAAACCCTCTCGTTGAAACTATTTTTGAAAAAGTTTCTACAATGTTCCCAGGCTCGCATTTTGTTAAATGTTGCGCTTTTCGGTAAACCGAGCAAGGACAAAGTGGAAATGAATGAAAGAGAGGTGAACTCTTTGAAAAATATTTCAAAACATTTTATTTAGAGGTTTGAAGTTGAAGAAAATAAGGGTGGTGGGAAGAAACCTAGTTGCGGAAGAAGTTGGGCATGAACCGTTTAGAGAGGGAGCCGGGCAGCCTCACTAAATCAGGTCTATCCTTTTGTATAGTTGGACTTTAGTTGTGAGGCCACCTCCATTGGAAAGTGGACTTCTGGGGCTTCATTTTACACTTGAGAATCTCCTAAAGCCGAATCCGAATGAGGGAGATATGGCTGTTTGAAGTTAGGCATCAATCTAGTTAGGACCAAAACTGAGCAGTCTTCACTAAAATAGGAATTTCTTTTTGCACACTTGGAATTTTGATGCGAGGCTACACCATTGTAAAGAATACTTCTAGGGCTTCAGTTTAGACTCAAGAATAACCTGCAAAGGAGTTCGGAAGAAGGAGACATACCTGTTTGAAGTCGAGCCCAAAAAGCAGATTTTCTGTCCAACCACTGAATAATGCTTGCCGGCTATTGATGATTGTTTCCGGTCACAAATGAAGCTTGTCGGCCATCAATGACGCCTTGCCGGCCATTGGTGTTGAAGATCAGATTTTTTTACAGATATTTACCTCCAACTGTCTCCACACTACTTCAGCTGTTTCTGGATAGATATTTTCAACCAAAGCTCATGGTTTTCTATATATATAGAGACCCTTCTCTATTTTTTTGAAGGTTGGAAAAATTTTGGGAGTCTCTCTCTCTACAATTCTCTCTCTTTTCAACTTTTGTGCATACAAGTGTGGATACACTTCAAGTTTGCCTATCAACCCTTAACCAAAGTTGCTTATCTTTGGGCTGAGGTTGCTTGGGACCCTCTTTGAGCTCTAGAAGGTGGTCTTGGCTTGGTTTATTGCCTCATTGGTGTCTTCCCTTCAAGAGGTAAAACACGCTCCTTTTATACTTGTTCTGCACACTTGCTTAGCCATCTTCTTCTATTGTTTTTGAGTTGTTTTGGGGATGGTTTTGACTGTCAAAAGTTCTATTTTTGTGGCCTAAAAATGGTGGTTTGAGGCCATTTTCATTTGGGGGGTGGTTAACCCTCCTTGCTCCTTTGCTTGTCAAGCATTTTGTACCTTTGTTCACCACTTTCAAACCAACGTTTTTGGGTCTTTTAACCACTGATTTTCAGAGGTTTTTAGAGGCTTAAAAAGTGGCTTTGAAGCCCCAAAAGTGGAGGGGTTAGCCACTCCTCCTTTGGCTTGTTTACTAGCTTAAATTGTTCCATGTTTTAGCTTTCATTCCAGTACATTTTTGTACTGTTTTTGTGCTGTTTTTGGACTGTAAAAGCTCTGCATTTTTGTGCTGAAACTTGTGATTTAAGGCCAATAAAGGTTGAGGGGTGGTTCACCCTTCGCTGTACCTTGTTTTTGAGGCCTTTGCCCTTGTGTTTCCCACCTTTTTACTATCTTTTTCTAAGCTTTTAAACACTGTTTTCAAAGTTATTTCAGTTGTTAAAAACATGTTTTGAAGTCCAAAAATAGAGGGGGTAGCCTTCCCTCCGTGTGTTTTGTTTACTAGCCTAGCATGCTCTATGTTTTAGCCTGTTAATCTAGCTTGTTTTAGCTCAAGTTCAACATGTTTTTGCCTTTGTTTTAGACTACTTTAGCTCTGTTTTGGGCTATTTGAGTCAGTTGAGACTTGTTTTGTGTAGTTGTAGTGTAAGTCCTTGCACTAGCTTGTTGTTTTAAGGCCTTAAGCATCATTGGTGTGACTTGGTTACATGTTTTTAGTGCTTTTATCACTTAATTCTGGCACCTAAATCTCTACAACCTCCCACTTTGCTTCACTCTTTCATTTGCTTTTGAGGGTTGTTTTAAGCTTGGGATCCTTTAAGCTTGAGATTGAGGTCATGCTTAATGGTTTAATCCTCTTTGAGGGTTCATTATCAAAGGCATGATCTATCTATTTCCTCACACAACCCCTTGGTTGACACTTCCTTCACCTTAGAGGACATTCACCAATGGACAAAACAATTAAAGATTGATTTGGTAATTAAAATGAGTAACCAAAAATGACAAGTAAAAGAGGCAAGATAAGCATGTCTTTGTGTTGCATTGCATGTGTTCAAACCGGACGTTAGTTTGAACACAAGGAAAATGGAACATTTCATACTCAAAAGTGATGAAATGTGTCATTTTGCTTGGCCTCCATTGCCCTTGATCATGCATGATGGGATGGTGGTCATTCGAGTCTTATTTGTGCATTGATCGAAATTGTACAACTTGGATCTTTGGCCATCATGCAATGAAATTGCTTGATTGGTGGTCTTGGATCCAAGGGTGTTACTCCTTTGAGATTTTGAGATGATAAGGAGGGATACAGTACAAACAAACCCTTAGAAAAATCCCCCTTTTGCTCTGTTTGTGCTATATTGCAGCATGGTGATCCAATGCATCAGTGGCCAACAGTGCCTCATCAATGGCTGGCAAGGCTTCATTTCTGGCCGACAGTACACCCTTTTGGCTGGCAGATGGCCGACAGACCATTGATGTCAACCTTAGGGAATATTTGGTAAGGTGGAGCAAAAAGGTTCTGAAGTATGCTCAACCCTGCAAACAGAACCTTTCAAGAGCAAAACGGAAGACTTTTCAGGGCGAAAACCGAGCATATGCATCTTTTGCTTCCCGAGGTGGAGCAGTGGCAGCGTAGTTTAATGTCTCACATGTTTAGTTAGTGTACATTTGTTTTAATTAATTATTTTACTACATGATTAAAGTATCATAATAATTAGTAATTAGTTTGCTAGTTATTCGATTGGTTTGTAATAATTAGTCTAGTTAGTTTAATTAGCTTAGCTTAGATTAGCTTAACTTATTCATTTGGACCCTCTTTCATGTGGGCATGATGTTGTAATAAGTGTGCGTGCGTGTGTGTATGTCTTCCAACCCCGCATCTTTCTTCATTTTATTTAATTGCTTTTGATGGTTAGATTAGGGACATGTTCAATTAGCATACTTTATGCTCACATGTTTGCATCCATTCATTTGTCTTGCATGCACCAAGGCTCGGCGCATCATTCAAACTGCATTGGCATTTCAATACTTCTTTGAATACGTGTTTCAAAGCATGCTATCAAAGTGTTGCAAATACCATGATTAGGTAGCCGAGCATATTTAGTTGCATTATTGCATGTGTTGCATTAGATACTTAACATAGTTAGGAAACATGCATTATTTCCTAACTCATATTTTCCTAGCTCAGAGTACTAGGTGCGTTTTAAGGGATTCATTATTTCCTAACACAAGGGATTCAACCTTGCCTTAATAACCATGGATCAATATAGCACATTATTGAGATCCACCATTATAAAATATGATCACTAATTTAAATTTAGTCTAAATGGAAAGAGTTAGAAAGGTCACCTAAGATAGTGTTTGGTTCATTAGATGAAATAAAATGAAATGATCATTACATCAAAATATTTATTTTCATATTTGATTGACAAACAAGAATAGTGAAAAATACGTTGTAAATAGAACATCATATACCAATGTAACGGATTGATCATTCCGTAAGGAAGATTAAGGAATAATCATTCTATTCCATTCTATCTCTTCCCAAGATTAAGGAATAGATTGGGAACATATAGAAGCAATAAACAATTAAACATGCTTCAATAATAAATAATAATAATAATATAATCCAAAAATTAAATATTGATCAAGAACACGAATTATAGTATGAGCACACTAGATCTTATTTTTCAATTCTATATCCAATCAAAGAAAAGGGTTTCGTGGAACCCAACCAGGTCTTCTTCATGTATACATACATATGCAAATTCAATACATCCCATAAAAAATATCCAAAAATCAACATCCACACATCAATTCGCACCTAGAAAATCAAAGGAAAAAAAATACTCACAATTTGATTCTCGAATTGTTTCTTCTCTCTATTTCACTTGAGATTGGTTGATGATTTTTAGAGGCTTCCTATCAAAACAAAACTAATAAGTATATAGATGTGTTTATACGTATATAAATCGAGCGATATAGATAGAGAGAGAATTACCTTCAACTTGTATCGAAGCCCTAGCACTGTGATTGCTCATAGTCCATAATGAGCGAAATTAGGAACCTGACTTGTAGTAGGTTTCTATCTCTAATCTAGGTGTGCGATATTTTCGCGCCGAACTTTTTTGGTTTTTCAATATAATGTTTTTTTTATGGGTTCAATATAACTTCTTTTTTTTTTGTATATATTATCCCAACGACAACATTTTTTAAATGCCATTAATCCTTAATCTGTGTAATTTTTCACAACATTTATAAAAGGTTATTAAAAATTACAATTCAATGCTACAAATATCTAATGTTAGCACCTCAAGTCATTTAATCACAAAATGCTATAAATGCTCCATAATTAATAACATTTTAATAAAAAAAGGCTATAAAAATATGTTATTAAAAGTACTATCTGTTGTAATGGCTAGTAAAAGAAAAAAAGAAAAAAGAAAAAGTGTGATAAAGGAATAAATCAAATCAAACAAACCATATAGATCAAAGTTCTTCCTCTCTAGAAGTAGACAGAGAAGAAATTGAGGAGCCCCAGGAAGTTTGGATTGTATATCTTCAAACATTTTTTCCACTCTAACAAGAGGTGGGGCCCGCCTATATTGTGGACTCTCTTCAAATGCATCGAACAGAGCATCAATTTGCTACAAAAACAAAACAAAAAAGATTTGTATTTTAAATCATATAGTACTGAACCTAATTTAAGCTAGCATAAATGACAGGACATACAATTCCCTTCATGTCTCCACATTTGATCAAATCCCTAACAAGGCCATGGATATTGCAGCGAGCTGAAAAGTTCACGACAACCTAGCGATCGATCTTTGTTGGGTCCACTAGTTTCTACACCAGCAAAGAAAAAATTTGTAAGAACACAAAATTAAGGTTGATCTGTGCCAAGTTTTAAGAAAACTAAATAAATAAATTAGAGAGCCATGCAGAACCCAATGCCGTTGATCTAAATGAACCGAAAGCCATTGGTTTGGAGAGAACAATGAAGCCATTGATCTAAATGCCAACATCAATGAAGAGATCTATGGCTTCATTGAAGTGTAAATTAAAAGCCCCAGTTCTACACAAAATCTTACAATCTGTCTCCCTAAAAATTCAGAAGAAAAAAAAGAAGAAAGAAAGAGAGAAATAATAAGATACCTGACCAAAAATAACAGCTGTATCAGTGCTCTTTAAGAGATCTATGGCTTCATTACACTTCAATGAAGCCATTAATTTACACTTCAATGAACGTAAGAGTTGTAGGCTGAGATGGTTCAACCAATTGGACCCAAGGATCAATAGAAAAGCTTTTAGTGAAGAGGAAGAAGAGAGACTAATGGTTGCTCATAGGCTGTATGAAAACAAGTGGGCCATGATTGCTAGGCTTTTCCCAGGAAGCACTGACAATGCAGTGAAGAACCATTGGCATGTTATTTTATCAGCTAAAATTGCACCTAATAACAGCTTATGAACAGGTAATTAAAAAAAAATTGAAATTCAATCTCAAACTGAAAAAAACTGAATTCAATCTCATGAGCATTGTACCTAATAACAGCTCATGAAACTGGAAAAAAAAATGAAATTCAATCTCAAACTGAAATTGCACCTAATAAGAGCTCATGAACAGGTAATTGAAAAAAACAATTAAATTCAATCTGGGCACTACCAAACCTCATAAACAGATGTAAAACACATGAGCATTGTCCAGTTTCATTTGAACATTTCGTCAAACACATGGTGAGCAAAAGGGTCAGAAGACAACAACAAATGCAAGCATGGACGAAACAGGCCAAGTTAGAGCAGTAGGTAGAGAAAAACAAACAAGCAAGAGCAGTAGTTAGGTTAAAAAAAAAAAAAAAAAAAAACAAAGAGAACAGGCCAAACACTAACTGCACCCTAAAACCTCTCACTGCTGCCAAGTTAAACACTAGACCATTCACCACAAAGACCACATCCTTGCACTTATATTTGACCCACAAAGCAATTCTGAAGCAAAGATTCCCATCTGACTTGAATTCCATTAAACTTGAGGTCATTACGAGCCTTCCAAATTGACCAAACCATGGCCTCCACATCTTCCTTTCCAGCTACCCAAATTTAAACCCAATCCCCAGTGTGACAAATTTGAAAAAGCTTATGGTGTAACCCAACGATCATTCCACCATTCTAGTAATTCAACCCATATCCTCCATATCCAAGGACAATGAAAGAACAGATGCCTCAACCTTAACATGGGTCGATTTGGGGTTGGGTTTGGGTGAAGGTATGCAAATGGAAGAAGAAAACCCTAGAGGCTGAAATTAGGGAAATAGAGACTATAGAGAGGACATACCTGGGGTAATGCTCCAATGGTGGATTGAAGGTGGTGCTCGTGTGCAATGGCGGTGATGCTCCGTTAACGATGGAGACAAAAGCGAGAGAGAGAGAGAGAGCCGGAGGAGAGCAGAGGCGTGAGAGAGAAAGAGAGAGTCACAGAGTGAGAGACAGACATAGATGTATGAGAGAGTTAGAGCGTGTGGGAGTGTATTTCTTAAACCTAGTTTATTTTCTTTCCCGACTAACTTTTTTAGTCGCCAATAATAAATAAAGGCCTTTCCTCCGACGAAATATTTAGTAGCCAATTAATTTCCTCCCCCCCCAAAAAAAAAAATCTATCTGAAGTCCAATTTTTAAAATTTTTAATTATAATTGCCGACTAAAATTTAGTCGCTAAAAGTAAATTAAATACCGACTAAATTATTTTTAGTAGCTAAAGATAGTACATTTAGGGACCAATTTTTTTTTAGTAGCCTATAGGGTAATTTTCAGTTCTTTGGCGACTAAAATATTTTTTAGTCACTGAAAATTAATTTTTGGAGACCAAACTTTTGGTCGCAAAAAGATAAAAAGTAAATTTTTATTTTTCATTTGACGACTAAATAATTTCATAGCCAAAACTAACTATATAGCAACTAAAATATTTTTTAGTCACCAATTATGGCCATTTTAGTGACTAAAATATTTTTTAGTAGCCAATTGTTGCATTTTTACTGACTAAAATTTTTTTTAGTAGCCAATTGTTGCATTTTTACCGACTAAATTTCTTTTAGTCGCCAATAATCAATATACCCCGAACTAAAAAAAATTAGTAGCTAAATGTTGTAACTAATATAATTTTTTGTCGCCAATTCCACAACTTTTGGCTACTAATTTTTTTTTAGTAGCCAAATTTAGTCACCAAAAGTGTAATTTCCTGTAGTGATAAAACTCAAATTATTAGCTATGTGGACAAACCAGCTGTTGTGAATGAGCTTGTGATTGTTATGAGGTACTTTTATAAGAAATGTGACTCCTCAAATGTTGGAATTATAGAGATCCGAAATCACATTCACATTCTCATTCCTCCCAAGATTACTATCATTCAAATATAGACTAAGATTAAGGGTTAAGATAATCTAAGCCAGCATCCTAAATAGAAAATAAACATACTATAACAATGTATCACTTAAACATGATAATTTTCACATTACTTGCAAAATTACTAATCAAGTTTGTTTTATTCAATTTGTCAATCAAATCCATTTAAGTTTTATCATTATATAGTTAACTTAATACAAGATTTGATCAATATCAATTTTGAAAAGTTTCTTTTACAGAAGCAATTTTAACAACTATGGTCAATAGTATTCTATACATAATTCATACATTTGAGAAACAATTATCTATTAGTTTTAAAAAGTTCACTACATCAATTAACTTTTTGATTTATTTTTAGGAGGCCCTTTATATATATATATATATAAACAAATATAATGACATAAATTTTTTAGGAGTATTTTTTTTTCACTAATTTTTAAGGACTTAAAGCGACGACTTGCCCGAGTTGTCTCCAAATCCAGCGGCCTTGATAATAACGAATTGGCTAGCAACCAACCAAATAAGAACAAGAAAAAGAAAGAAAACAGAACATGAAACAACACCACTCCAGCCTTGATAATAACGAATTGGCTAGCAACCAACCAAATAAGAACAAGAAAAAGAAAGAAAACAGAACATGAAACAACACCACTCCAGCTGCTAACACACACCTAGCTAACAGCGCAACAATAAATATTATAAAATTAGAACTAATGGAACAATACAATAGTGACAAAAAGGTCAAAAGAATGGTTATTAGAACTAAATTCCAAAAGGGAGAAAATATATTCTATTTTTAACTAGGACCCATCCTGAGTTATTAGGGGTCTAAGTCAAATTTTTTAAAGAGAAAATTTCATTTTTTATTGAGAAAATTGCCTTGATAATCAATTACACACCCAAAATTTTGAATAATTTCAATTTTACTCCAAAAGTTTTTAAAATCATATCAATTTTGTCCTTGCCGTTATATTTGAAATGGAAAAAGTTGAAAAAAAATTATATTTTGACCTCAAATTTTAAAAGAAAGATGCAGATCCATCCTCTCCTACCCAAATTCACAATCTCATCTTCTTTCAATTCTTCCATCTCTTCTCCGCCCTTACAAGCATTGCTGCCACCACCAACCACCACCACAATTACTCAATCCTCCAACCAAACTTCTCTCAATCTCCACTAATAATAATCTCATCACAAACCCCTAAAACTAGTCACACAGCACAACCGCCAAACAGGCCCAAAAATGGACTCCTCCTCCTACTCTTTCTCATATTCTTTTTCCTCACAAGCCGTCGTGTCATCGTCCATGGACGTTGCATTGGCTACATTGTTCAGAGCTTCAGTAATGGTGTTTGGAGCTTGCAAGGGCGGAGAAGAGAGGGAAGAATTAGAGGAAGAGGAGAGAGGGTGAGTTATAGAAGAGGATGGGTCTGCATCTTTCTTTTGAAATTTGGGGCCAAAATGTATTTTTTTTTAAACTTTTTTTCATTTTAAATTTGACGGTGGGGAGAAAATATGCTTTGAAAAAATTTTAGGGTAAAATTGAAATTATTTGAAGTCTGGGAGTGCAATTGATCATTGAGGCAAAGTATAGGAGTAAAAACGAATTTTTCTCCTTTTTAAAATGGGCCCTTCATATATGATTACCCACAAAAAAAAATAAAAAAAAAAAGGATAAAAATTTATTTCTATTTCTTTACGATTTAACAAAATTTAGATAACAATATATATATAATAGTTGAATTCCAATTGGTTGAATCGAATCTTTATTTTTTGGATTATCCATGTTATGAGAGTTAAATTAATTGGGGGTAAGAATGAAATTTTTTGATTTAACTCAAGCAATATATAAAATTAGCAAGTTAGGGTTGACTATTTTTCGACATGAATCCAACTATGACACGACTCAATAGCGTAATTATTATATTTTAATGTTCATTAAGGGATGTCATGACAATTTTTAAATTTTTTTATTTAACTCCATCTAACTGAATAAAAAAGGATATAAAATAGTAATTTAAGGCTGATATCTTTTTTTTCATCGAAGATATGTATTTTTTGTTACCTATTTTAGAGTCAATCTAGTAAAAAATATATAGTAATAAGGCACAATTTTTTTAATTAGAAAAATCCAATTGAGTTTAAATCAAACATTTTATGAATAATTTCATTTAGTAGAAATAAATTTTATAAAATTTAACTTATGGGAAATTTTTTAATCTTGTCATACTCTTGCTAAGTTATTTTTAATTAAAAGTGAAAGTTTTCGCATTAAATATCAATCGGACACAAATCAAAATAGAAACATACGACAATATGAAAATAAATGAATTGGGCTAATATTGAAGTAATTATGAAATAATACGACATGATACACATTCCTAGTTGGGCCTCCTAAATTTTGTTCAAAATTGAGAGCCCAAGGCCATTGCCTTAATCTCCTCATCTCAGGGTCGACCCTATTTTTAATCCTCCAAGCCAATCAAGTTGAGCATGACTAAAAAGGATAATTCTATATATAAACAAAATTAATGATATGATGATTTCTTTCATGGTGTTTTTTTTATTATTTAATTTTAAAACCTCCATTATTATGGTTTATAATTTTGTTTATAAATCAATTTCAAAATTATTTTGAATCTTTTAAAATCATTTTACCCAAGTGATATGAGGCCAGAGTACTTTGTCCCTTTATAATTTAATTGGAGACTCACGTGTATTTCCTAATAGCTGAACATATTGTCCAATAGGTCCTGTGAGAATTAATGACGTTTTTTTATCAAACACTATTAAAAAACATCACTAGTTGTTAATTTTCAACGACAATTTAAAAATTTTGTCACAAAATATGTCAGTAATTATAAGTTTTAGTGAGAGTTAAAAAAAACGTCACAAAAAAACGTCATTAAGTTTTAACTTTCTGTAACAATTTGAAAAACTTGTCATAGAAAAATTTCACTAATTGTAAGTTTTAGGGATAATTTATAAATACCATGACAAAAAAAAAGGGTCATTAATTATCAATTTTTAGCAGCATATACAAAAAAATCATCACAAAAAATTATTTTTAGCGACAATTTGTCTAGAACCTATTTTTAATAGGACTTGATTTGAATCAAGCTTATAGCAATCCCGGTTTTCCCCACCAAGTATTGTGTTCTTGACTTGGGTCTTGTGGTTGTTTTTGTTGTCTTATTCTTGTTTTCATCCTTTAATTCCTTATATTTTGGGTTTTGGGATGTGTTAGGTAAGATTGGAATAGGTTGGTTGGGTGTTGGAACATATGGTTGCTGTCCAGATTTTTGTTCCTTCGCTCGAGCAAGACTTTTGTCGCTCGAGCGAGATATCTTGCACTCGAGCGTGCGTCTCCGTCCAGTTTGAACTTGAAGGCTGTCATTCTTGGCTCAAGCGAGCTTTCCTTTGCTCGAGCAAGCGAACCCTATGTTTTGAGTTTCTTCGCTCGAGCGAGCGGTCCTTCGCTCGAGCGTGCTTCTGGGTTGCAGACCTAAAGCTTTGCATTGTTCACTCGAGCGACGCTTCTTGCGCTCGAGCGAGGTATTTGTGTCTAGTCGCTCGAGCGACCAATCCTTTGCTCGAGCAAGCCTCGAGTGTATCAGCTGCAGCAGCGTGTTTCTTCTTCACTTTTTCATCTCTTTTTACTTCCAAACCCTAGATCCGACTCTCTCTCTCTACATGTACCTTCTCTCTACAAATATCCTTGGTTCTTAGGTGTGTCTACCCTAATCTCTTTGTAAGAAAGGTGGACCTTGGTGCGGGCTACACTTTGATCCAAAAAAGTTGTACTTTGGAGCACTTTCGAGTTTCTTCATCTTTTCCTTTGGGATCTTAACTTCGAGGTAGGGATGATCTACTCCTTCTTATGAGTTTTAACATAAATAGTAGTCATTTAGTATAAATGTTGAGATTTGGTGATTTGGGAAGTTAGGGTTTGAGGTTTGTGGTATATAAGAGAGGGGTTTTGTGTTTTTAAGCTCCATATGTACACGAGGTCTTGAAAATGAGGTTTTGTGGGTTTGATAGGTGAGATTTGGTCTTAGGATCAATGTTTGAGAAAATGGGGAAAATGCCCTAATTGGATGTAAATAAGTAATTTGTATAATTAATTTGGTAATTGTGAGGAATATGAAACTGATTTGAACATCATGAAATTGGATGGAATTGGGACTA